CACACACTTCAGAGGAGAATAAGGGAACATATCTAAAAGAAAGCCAACAGGGGCTGGCCCCGTGGCCGAGTGGTTAAGTTCGCGCGCTCTGCTGCAGGCGGCCCAGTGTTTCGTTGGTTCGAATCCTGGGCGCGGACATGGCACTGCTCATCAGACCACGCTGAGGCAGCGTCCCACATGCCACAACTAGAACAACCCACAACGAAGAATACACAACTATGTACCGGGGGGGGCTTTGGGGAGAAAAAGCAAAAAATAAAATCTTAAAAAAAAAAAAAAATAAATAAATAAAATAAAAGAAAGCCAACAAAAGCTTTATCTTTTAACCATTCTCAAGTGTCAGCATCAACATTTCTACCCGGTCTGCTTTTTCTAATACAAATGTACGAGGAGACAGATTGAAATGCCAAACCAAACTGCTCAGTGTTTTAGAAAAAGCTGTTTCTCATAGGCGGCCTCAACTCAAAACACCGTTTTTTCGATATCTTCTGAAAATTTTCAACAAGTTGGGTTTGCAGATTCTTAAGATTAATCATAAAAAAATCTAATATTCCCACAGAACAGTAGTGATCTAAAAAGGGCTGCCTTCATTCTCTGCTAGGGCTCTAGCAGAAGCCACACAAAATTCAAAAATCACCTTGAATAGCTAGAATGTTACCCACAGCTTTCTGGCATCTCTACTGTGACCTTAACCACTTGTTTTAGAATTACTCTGCTATTTCCATATGCCCTTTGATGCCCCAAGTCCCACCACTTTGATATGTAAAATTTAGCTAATTTAGGCTCTGCAAGGACACACTGCTGAAAGTCTTGCTCCAAAGCCTGAGGATCTTAGTGTATCAGAGAGAAGATAAATGGAAATAGACACTTCTGGCCTTTTCCATCTGATTTCTTTACCTATTGCTAATAATAGTAATACTGGTGGGCTATTTGTGGTTTTGCATGCATGATCTTATTTAATCTCGTAACAAAGGAAGATACTATTATTAGCATTCCTATTTGTCTTAAGAATGTTAAGGACATGTTAACAGAATTAGAAGCCTAGCTTTTTAATTCTAGAGCTTTGTCTATTATCTTGTCCCTACATTCTTGAGGATACTATGGTATAGAGTATCAATATGTTTTCTGGTATATCACATAATTTAGTGTATAGATCATAATAAGTATAATATACAGTATATACTCCTTCTAAGCATACTGTAACATGCTTATAACGCCTGCACCAATGCCAGCACTAATTCCCCCTTCATTTTCCCCAATAGAATTCACAACATTATAGATTAGACCAATAGGACCTAAATGGCTTAGGTCTCTCGTTTCCAATCTTAGACACAATTTATAATAACATGGGGAGCTTTTAAGAAATGCTTAGCATGCCCTTCCCTGGACTGGAAGTTTCTGATTTAATTGTTCTGGGGTAGGTAGGGCCTGGCTATCAGTACTTTTTAAAGTTCCTCTCTTCATCCCTCTGGTGATTATAAAGATCCAGGGGGTGGAATACAACTTCTCTGTGCAAATTAATGTAATGCTGTCTGTTACAGACTGGACTGTGTCTCCCCAGAATCCATATGTTGAAGTCTAGCCCCCAGTGGGAGTGTGTTTGGAGCTAGAACCTTTAAGGAGGTAGTTAAGGTTAAATGAAGTCAAAAGGGTGGGGCCCTAATCTGATAGGACTGGTGCCTTTTTAAGAAGAGGAAGAGACATCAGTAGCATGTGTGCACAGAGGAAAGACCACGTGAGGACACAGTGAGAAGGTCACCTTCTGTAAGCCAAGGAGAGAGGCCTCCCCAGAAACCAACCCTGCTGGCACCTTGATCTTGAACTTGGACGTCCAGCCTCCAGAACCATGAGAAAACAAATCTCTGTTGTTTAAGGCCCTCAGTCTGTGGTATTTTGTTACGGCAGCCGAGCAGACTAACGGGACATCTTTGGGTCACAATGACTGCTGTAAGCTCTGGGCTGGTGGAGATGTCTAGTACCTGAATACAAATAGGAAGGCTCTAGGTCCAGGAGCTGTAGGTATCCATCCCTCTGCTCTTAGAGAAGGCGGTCTAAGAATGGAGGGAATATAGAGAGAAAACGCTTTCAAGAACGTGGAAAGAAATTGAGTCTCAGGGTTTACCATTTATACGCTGTTAAATAATAGGAAGGAGCAATATTTAGAAAAGACTGTGAATGAGTCTCTAATAATGGGGCTTACAACATTCTTACTGATTTCCCCATAGCAGGGTAAGTACCAGACTGCGTACTGACCTCTCTATCGTCCTCAAGCAGACGCTGTGGAGTCCGCACATCTCTCCAGTTACTATGAGGCCAAGTCATCTTTATCTGTTTGTTTGCTTACTTTAATTTAAGGTGTGACCAAAGTGTGTGGGTAGGGCGAGTGTCAGAGGGGGGATGTAACTAGTCTTGCACCAGGAACAGCAATGAACATTTGAAGAAAGCGCAGTCTTTGTTTCCACAGTTACTCTTTCTAATCAAGCTTACTTTTGATCTTGGGCTTTCCTGGTGCCCTGACCAAAGAGTGAATTGTCACATTTTTGAAAACACATGTGGATCAAATAAAACGTGACGGTGACTACAGTGTTAAGAAATTAGTCAAGCGTTGCAAGACAGTGATGACTCAATTTTCGTAAGAAAAGCTAGAGCTGAACATCTTCCCAACATCATGGTTGTGTTTATAATATGTGGTTTACCGTAAAAACGTAAGCTCTAAAATCTGTTGCATGGAATTAAAAATATGCTAAGAACTAAGCTTATGACCTAGGATCTTTAGTTTCCTTCGCTGTGAAATGGAGGTAGTGAAGACTACCTCCTACGATTTCTGGAGGATTGAATGCGTTAACATTCTAGAATCCTCTTGAATAGTGCTAGAATAGGGACTTCATTAATGTCATTTCATTTCTCTACTTCCTTTCCCAATTCTTGTTTCTACACTTTGGTTGCTGAAAGTTAAAATCACTCTGATTCTCAGTTGTCATGTATTGTAAAATATATAGTATAAACATTCCCACTGGATTATGACAGGACGTTTGTTAATTACTCCATGAAATGACTTCATAACATAGCAAGTCCTATGAAAGTTTGTGTTTATCTTATGCAAAATTATGTAAGGAGGACATTAATCCCCACTAGAACCTTTTCTTTTGGTGAGGAAGATTGGCTGTAAGATAACATTGGTTGCCAATCTTCCTCTTTTTTTTTTTCTTCCTCCTCAAAGCCCCAGTACATAATTGTACATCCTAGTTGTAAGTCATTCTAGTTCTTCTATGTGGGATGCCATCACATCATGGCTTGATGAGAGGCGCACATGTCCGTGCCCAGGATCTGAATTGGTGAACCCCAGGCCACCGAAGCAGAGTGTGTGAACTCAACCACTTGGCCACAGAGCCAGCCCCCTTTTCTGTTTCTTTTTGCGTGTGTGTGAGGACGATTGGCCCTGAACTAACATCTCTGCCAATCTTCCTCTATTTTATGTGGGATGCTGCCACAGCGTGGCTTGACGAGCGGTGCTAGTTCTGTGCCCAGGATCGAAACCTGCAAACTTCGGGCCACCGAAGCAGAGCATGCGAACTTAACCACTACACCACTGGGACAGCCTCTATCTCTCTTTTATAAATAACTGTGAGGCTGAAGAGACGAAATCTGACAGAGAAATGTTAGCATACTCATTTTAGTTTAGTTTAAGCATCCATCAGTAACCAACAGGTCACATGATTATATGTCTAAGTGTACCCCCTGAGTCTTCTCTATCACACAGTAAATGTGTCACACGCTGCCAAAGGTTGAGTGCTACAGATATGGAGTGGTCACATTACTTCTTTGAGTGGCAAAGTTGCCAGCTCTCAGTTATACAAGATGAAATTGTAACAGACTTTGCACATTAGAGAGTTAATAAATCCATGTGTGTTATAACAATAAAGTGCAGGATAAATGCACACTTCTGTACACACACGTTTTTCTCTGAATATTTCAAGTTCTGTCCCAACAACCTTAATGAAACCAGACATAAACTGAATTACATTCTTTTAAAACAGGAACAATCACACATCAATTTGCATGAAGTTCCTTCCCCATAGATCTAACTGGTACGCCCATCTTGACCTCCATTTGTTATTCTCATTTGTTCATTCTGCTATAAATTTGATTTGATCTCATTATAATATCCTTAAATGTACTAAATCTTGCATTAGTAAAAAGACATACAAGGCTTTTAGACTAAGCTGCTGTCCTATTCCCCAGCCAGGGCTGTCAGAGTTTGTGGTCTACAAGTTTGTGAATTACCTGCCTGCCACACTGAGCTAGTGAAGACTTGAAATCTGTCTTCAATGAGAAAAATGGTCATCCACACTTTCCTCTAAATGAGGAGTACATAAAAGACATCTTCAATCATCGGTGGCCATGTCATTGTCGGTGTCTACTCCCACAATGAGTTACAACCACAGCAGTGACCCAGGCGGGAGGACAATGACCTCTGGAATTACAAGGCTGCCAGCTGCTAGTTACTTCCTGGAGCACACGTACAGCGTCCTAGAAAACTGACCACCAGACTAGGCGTGTGTTAGTGACCACAGACACCTTGCCTGGTTCTCAATAAAAATGCAAAAAACATTTTATACCAGTGAATGGCTGGCAATCACCTACACTTGAAACAAAAAATACTTAAGTAAGTTATGGTTAATTTAGTTAAAAAGTAATCTGGAGACATTGAAAATAGAAATATTTATAAAGAATATTTAATATGAAAAGCTTATGATGATAAATTGTTTGGTTGCAACTTCCCCATTCATTTCCACCATTCCCAATTTGTACTTTTCATTAATGAATATATGTTACTCTTTATATAAGAACTTTATTGAGATATAATTTGCATATCAAAAATTCACTCTTTTATTTTCTTTCATTGGTGAGCAAGATTGGCCCTGAGCTAACATCCACTGCCAAGCTTTGTCCATTTTTTTTTTTCTGCTTGAGGAAAATTGTTCCTGAGCTAACATCTGTGCTGATCTCCCTCTACTTGGTTCATGGGATACTGCCACAGCATGGCTCAATGAGCAGCGCGTAGGTCCGCTCCTGGCATCAAAATCAAAAGTCATGAGCCCAACCACTATGCCATTGGGGTGGCCCCCCAAACTCACTCTTTTAAAGTATATAATTTAGTGAGTTTTAGTATATTCACCGAGTTATACAATGATCATCAATATCTAATTTTAGAACGTTTTAATACTTCAAAAAGAAATCCCATACCCATTATCAATCCCTCCCCAGTCTCCCTTTCTTTTAACCCCTGGAAACCACCAATCTACTTATTATTTCTGTGGATTTGCCTGTTTTGGACATTATACAAATGGAATAATATAACGTGGTCATTTGTGTCTACCTTCTTTCACTGCCCATAATGTTTTCACAGTTCACCAATCCTGTAGTGTATATCAGTATCTCATCCTTTTTAGTGTTAAATGATCTTCCATCATATCATGTATCATATTTCATTTCTCCATTCATCAGGTGATGGACATTGGTTTTGTTTCCACTCTGGGGCTATTATGAGTATTCATGTACAAGTTTTTGTGTAGATATATGTTCAATTCTCTTGGGTATACACCTACAAGCAGAATTTCTGGATGATATGATAACTCTATGTTTAACATTCTGGGGAACTGCCAAACTGCTTTGCAAAGTGGCTGTACCATTTCACAATCCCAACATTTACGTGATTTTAAAAAAAACTATCAACCTTAATGAACAAAATTACCTTAGACTACCTAATTTTGGCACACTGTAACTATGGAGGCTACAGAATTTTTACTTTCATAAATAGCAAACATCTGAGCTCTAGCCCTGCTCCTTTATTGCAGCAAGATTTAGCCCTCACAACTCTTCATTTTAAAAGATTATTTCTATCCATCGCCATTACAAATTTTAGCAAAGTTGGAGACCAGAGAGAAACTGAAACGTTACAGAGAATTTGGGGCACAGAGAAAATAGGGTAGTAAATGCCAGTAAGTAAAATAGCCACTAAGCAATCAACATTAACTTCATTTTTATGTCAAGGAGGAAAAATGACATTGAGATAAACAACTTTGAGATCAGTGAATGTCCCAAATGAGGAGTTTAAAAATAAGCTTTGGGATAAAAATGATATTTTCCCCTTTAAACACATTCTTAAAGCAAAAAACGTAGGTAGAAATTGAAAACAGATTTCACTAAATGCCAGTGCTTCTAATAGCTCAGTGTGTGAAAATCCAGCTGTCCTTTTCTGCTTCGTACATTAGCAGTAATAATGGTAAAGATGATGCCTTCCTTATTTGCTGACACTTGTGTTGATGATGCAGGAGGCAAAATAGCATTTCTCTTCTGGGTAATGTTAATTATGGAGTGCTGACAGAAGTTCAAAAATAAATCCAGATCCTTCAACTCAAAAATGCCCCACATCAATATAATACAGAAAACTCATAGTACACTGACAAGCATGAGAGAAGCGTACATTTTGCATAATGTCTCCTCTTTTGCAATAAGTAAAAAGATTCATGGAATATTTAAAAACCAATAAGGATAATAGGTTATATCAGAATCACAAGTTAGAGATCTATCTGTTTCATTTATGTTACTTATTTGATTCTTTGAAGCACAAAGAAAATGGAACCCTATGTTCCTTTTTGAGATGATAGGAATAAGGGTCTGGGAGATGAAGTGACACAGGCAATAAGCGGAAGGGTAAGAATTTTCTTCCAGGCTTCTATCTCTTCATCCAATACTAGAACATTTCTATTGTTTCAGACCAAATGTCAAAGCACAATTCAGCAATTTGAAAGTTACTTATGTGGACAATGAGTCAGAATTTTTGAAATTTGGACCATAGGATGAATTTAGTATGACTACACCATGCAGTTATTGAGGCGGTACACATTTCCTGTTAGAAATTAATTAATAACACTAACTTGAAATATTTAGAACACTTGAATTTCGTGCTAGAGTTTAGCAGCTATCTAGCACCTACTGTCAAAAATACAAAGGGAATTCAACAAGTAATTTTTAACCTCTACTATAGTTTTTAAAGCAGCACTTCAAGGTAAGTATTGTTATCCTCATCTTTTTTGAAAAAAAGAAAGAAACTAAGAGTAATGAAGGTTAGGCAACTTGTTTAAGATCAAATAACCAAAAGAAGAAATGTTTATATTTTATTTTATTTATTTATTTTGTTGAGGAAGATTTGCCCTAGGCTAACATCCGCTGCCAATCTTCCTCTTTTTGTATGTGAGCTACCGCCACAGCATGGCCACTGACATACAAGTGGTATAGATCTGCACCTGCGAACTGAACCTGGGCTGCCAAAGTGTAATGTGCCAAACTTAACCACTAGGACACCAAGGCTGCCTCAAAATGTTTATAGTTTAAACTCAAGTTTGTCTGAACTCAAAGTCCTACTCGCTTATACTTGAGAATCCTACTAGCTCGAGAAAATATATTTAAGCTTTAAACATGTGCTGGACCTTTGACCAGTAATATCACATCTAGGATTATATTCTAAGAAGAGAATCAAGGGCATGTACTATGATTTAGCTAAAGGAATCTTTATATCAATGTTGTTTATAGTTTCCAAAAAATGGAGTAAGCCTAATGACCAAAAAGAAGGACTCTGTTAAACTATTTGTGTTATGTCCACATGATGGAATAGTATGCAATCATTAAAAAGGTTGTAATAGAAAATTATTTATTGGAGAAACAATCCTATGACACCTAATCTTCCAGATGAACTCCACTTAACCTGCAAAGTTCGGTTAAACATTACTTCTTTTGTGATGTGTGTCTTCACCCTATTTCTCATTCCAAATCAAATTAGACTGACTCTCCTTCCTGCTCCCACAGGTCTACACATATGGCAAATGGTAGTAGACTGAGTGATGTGGGTATCTATCTCCCCTTACAGGCTATGACTTCCTCAAGGTCAGAGAGCAAACTTCAGCCATCTTTATTACCCCACCCATATCTATATATAAATACATTGGTTTATAGTTAACAGGAGGTATTCAATAAATGTCCACTGAAAGAATAAATGAACAATTCTTTAGCATTGTGTTCAAACTATTTCATGTTAAGGGTCTTGTAGAAAATAAGACTTCTATGGCTTACTTGAGAAATTGTCGTGCTTGTTCCTAATGCGAGGAGAAAGACCTCAAGGTTTTAGCCACCCTTGATCATACCTTGCTACCCTGAAAACAAAAAGAGATTATGATGTTGGCATACCTGTAACCCATTCACTGCACAGTATGGTCCTGAGATGCACTGACTGCAAAGGTCTGGCAATAAACTGAGTTAATGCAGGAGTTTTAATGTGAGAGCTGTACATTTCTATAGGGCACATTAATAGGCTTCATCAAATACCTGTCTTAAAATTATCTTTAAAAAATTTTGTATATTTTAGTTTGTGTATATGTCTATTTTGTAAGGATTTAGCTTTTTACTAAAAAAAGCGATTGGATCTAAGTTTAAACTACAGTGAGAGAGTCTACATTGTTTTCACATTATTTTGACCAAAAATCATCTTAACTTTTATATGTGTATTTCATTTATTAAGTCAAGAAGTTTGTTTTTGTTTTCACTTTGAGATGAAGGTGAGCTGACTTTTTAACAAAATCAATTAAAATGTAGTTAACGAGAAGCTTTGGTCGTTATTCTTTTCTGTAGACATCATAGTACCGCAGAAATACTTCTAACAAGACACAAACATTCCTCTGGGAATGAGAACAGAGAGTTGCTATTTGGAGTTCAGTGGGGTGAAGATCCTTTTCACCCTTGGCATCTGTGTGGTCAGATTCTCAAATTATCAAAAGAAAGTCAGAGAGGCGGTCATTGGGAAGACAGTCAAATGGATAAGGGCCATTAAGTAAACTGCAGTAATAATCAGAAGACTGCTTTCAGCTAATACTCAAGAAACCTTCGCATTTTCTCAAAGTCCAGGTGGCTGTTTGTGTGTTTCAACACAAAGGTGTAGCCATATTTAGAATTGCTAAATTTTTCATTGCCTGAAGGGTCTCTATTTATTTACCACGGGACTCATGCCCTAGCAGAAGCATCACACCATGTGGCTTAATCTTCTGCCTCAACATTAGACTGGAAATATTGATGGGAAAACACCGCATATTGGCCTCATTCTGCTCCTTCCAAACTCTGTTGAATTGCGCTTGCATTTAGATGTGGGGCCATTTGAGGTTTCAGAGGCGCAGAGACTGTTTCCTCCTCTATCACCCATGCCAGATTTTGGCTAGCCCAAGTTTAAAAAACACTAGAAAGAAAGCTAGCACATTCTCAGAGATTGAGGACAAAACCACCAGGATTGGAGGGGTCCTAGGAAACCCAGTTTCAATAGAAAACAATAGGTATTATTAAGTTTCTACAGATACGTGTTTGGGTCTGATTTGAGTGGGATTTTCATTAAGAGACAACTCTCTATAGGATCATGAAACTTTGGAGCTGAAACCAGGGATCGTGCCCTTCCTGACTGGCATAATCTGCCTGGATAAGGTGATGTATTTTGTATCAGGATATGGAAATAATTGTAATGATAATGTTTACTGAGTGTTTACTTTGTATCAGGCACTATTCTACATGCTTTACATGTACCAACACACTGATTCTTCACACCAAACTTATGAGGTCAGTACAATTATTATCCTCTTTCTGTCAATGAGGAAAAATAGGCACAGGAAGATGAAGTAACTTGTTCAAAGACTTACAGCTACTAAACAAGACCTCACTCTCTTAAATAATATGAAATAACTGCCTTCAAGGGAGAGCTGTGCAAGTAGGGATTTCTCTGGTCTCTTCCTGTTTAACATTCTCTTTTTCTTTTTATGAGGGGAGAGGAGGATCATATATCCAAAACAAAGGATGATCATGAGAAATGAGTATACTTTTCAAATCATTAACCCCCCTCCCTCCCCATATACAGACACACACACATATACATACTTCTACACACCTGAAAGTTCTTATAATCAGAAGATTTTTAAAAATCCCATTTTGGAAATATTGGCCCTTCCCATTGAAAAACAAATGATTTGGATGCGGTAAAATAAGGAAAGCGATCACTTTTCCCATCTCATTATAATCATACATAAAGAATTCTTGGTATGAAAAAATTTTTCACTTCACCTCTACCTAATTTATTAAATAAACATAACTGAAAGCAATACCTTGATGGCCCAAGAAAATTCAAATGATTTCATAATTAATTTTCATAGAAAAAGAGTTGTTCGTTACTTTCTTTATTCAAACAATAAGTATTTATTGAGCAACAACTTTGCTCTAACAAATACCTATACATGGGGTATATAGCAATCAACAAAACAGATCACACTTCTGACTTCAGGAAGCTTATATTTGGTGGTAAAGCTGCTAACACTATTAAATTACTGATGATTTTTCTTACCTCAAGACACTTTATATTTATAAATTTAAACTGAGAAATATTGGAAAGGGTGACATTAGACATTGAAACATATACAAATAGAATTCAAGATAAGAAGTAACTCTGTAACCATATAACCCAACTGACCCGGAGACAAGTTCTTAATATCATTAGTTCTAGTATAAAATCTCCTAAAGCTACCCATAGACAGCCAGACGTCACAAACTCCAAATTTGGACTTACTATTTCTTCTAAGGAACCTTACCTCTTAGGATCACCCCCTCCATCCAGCCCCAAACACACACCCCAGTGAATAAGCCTATCAATTCCACAGTCAATCACACATCCTCTTTAGATGGTTCACAGCCAAATTAAATCTTACATTCTAATGGGGCACACAGTAGCAAAATGGTGAGTTTTAAGGTCTAGAAATAAGTGAATAGTACATAAGTATTTAAAATGGTCAACTAGGAACACAAGATAAAAATATAGGACTTGAAAAGCATGTACTGTAGACTATGATGCTACTTGAAATGCGCGTGTGGATAGTTACATCAAGTGCTTATTGCAAATTATTTAAGACCAGGGACTCTGACATCAGACTGCAGTGCTTAAATAAAGATTTCACCACTTAATGGCTAGGTGATAGGCAAGAACTAATTTGTCTGACATGGATACCCAGCAGTCTGGCTTCCCAGAGAGACAGCTGCCACTGCCTCTCCGCCCTAAGAGCAGGATAATTTGGAAATTAAAACCCAGAAGATAAGGAAACTGCCTATACTGAGCACTTAATGCAGACATCCTGATAGAATGCTGATGAGGCAGAACAGGGTTGAAGGTCAAGAATCTCCAACGCCATTCCACTATAAACACAAGCCTTGGGTCCTAGACTCTGATCAAACACACAGGGATGGGCTGGTGAGCTCTCAGTTATGCTGAGGTTAAAGATCAGGGCTGGAAGCTAAAATTCTGCCACATGCCAGAACTGTAACCACAAAGTTTGGACGTCAGCAACAAATCATCCTAGGGGAAGGGCTGGTGTCCCCCCAACCAAGCAGCTTGTGAGTCCCACAGCTCAAGACTGAGACCCCATTCAAGTACAATGTCTGGCCTGCCAATTCTCTGTGGAACTGGCATTGGGAAGATTGCTCACCTGCTACTTCTGTCTCTGTAAGTTTTCCCTCAACAAAAGGCTGGTCCCGGCTGGTGTGTGTGCTTTCAGGTCATCCACTCTCGATTACTTGGCATTAGACGATCTTGGACAAGTTATTAATTCTCTATGAGCCTCAGTATCCTCTTCATCAAATAGGGATAATGACAGTAAACACTTCATTTGGTTTCTGTGAGGATTAAATGAGATAATCTATGTCAAGTGTTTATCACAGCACCCGCACATAGGGAACGTTAAAAAGTGCTGGCTATTATTAAAATTGAGGATTTGATTCCAGGGGATTTTTTAGCACCAATAAGGGAGATTTTATCACATCTCAAAAGGAACTAAAAAATAAACTTGAGGGCTTTCATTAAGAGACATAGAGAGCCCTTTTCTCACAGTCTGTCACTCCATTGTTGACGTCGTGGCGATTATTTGACGACTAAGTGGGTCTGAGTTTCAGCTCAGAGAAGAGAGTTATTATACAGAAGAGAGTTAGACTTCTGCTGGAAAGCAGACGCCAAATTAGTCCTTAGGCATCTGTTTGCACCTCTCGAAAAGGAGCAGAAGGGAGAGGTGGTATGAGAGAGAGTCCAAATGACTATACTTTTTCCCTATACAATTATCCATTCATTCCTTCGTCTATGCGTTATTTCCTTTCCTCAACAGTTACATATTGCAATCCACTGTATTAGGCACCACGGTGAAACAAGAAGACAAACAGGCCAAGATTGAAAAGTAATAATTGGCTTGTTCCAAATTTGTCCCCTGCATGCCAGTCTCCCAGAGAAGGATCTGGCCTCCTGCAGATCACGCACAAGTCAGCCTCAGCAAAATACTCTAGCAATCCATTCTGGTAAAATGTTGAGGTGGCAGATTCAGCCATGTTTAAGTAAATCGAAGAGCTGGAACTCCAATGTTTACACACTGGCACACTGATCTTGTCAGAGAAGAGGCTTGTGTTCTCTCAATTATGGGTGTCCAACTTGGCAGAACAAGACTTGGAGCCAAGACTATGCCATACACATATTTGATGGATTCCAGCTCTTAATCATGACAGGGAGGGGATATTGCTTTTCTAATGACTTCCTTAAAAGCCTCCTGGAGTCCAATGCTTAGATTTACTAGATCCCTATGTGCTGCCCCCAAAGAACAAGGGGAAATTGGAGAGCGTAGAAACTCTTACCATTGTGAATGCCTCTAACACAATGTTCTTTCATCAGTTCTAGAGCGTGAGCTTCCTGGTATTTTGTCCTGGTTTGATCAACACACTTATTAATCTCAAGCTCATTATGTACAAGAAAATGAAACTCTTAAGTGTATTAAACCAATAAAATTGATAGAATGAGATGCCACGTGCGGTATTCAGGGGAGAATCATCCATTTCCTCTACTGACAAGCCTCCAGTTCCCTTGAGGTTTTGGATAGAATCCAATCCCATACTTCTGACCATTTCCCTCACCTCAAGAAGAGGAGTGGCCCTATTGTATAGGATTAGTGCACCTGGACTATCCACTCTTGGAAGGTAAGAACAGGCTCTATTCCAAATGCAAGTAATTGGCTCTGTAACTCCACCGCTCACCATGGTCCCAGGGGTCAGTTTTAGGGGGATGATAGAACGTCTGTTTTGGCCTTATGTGCAAAGTGTGTTTCTCAGTATAGCTTTACTGATAATAAAGCTGATAGTTTAATGCCTGAGGAAGCCAAAACTTCCGTGTATCGTCTTTAATAGATTCAGAACTTTAAAGACACTTGATTCAATGTCTCCTTTAAATCTCTTATTTTTTTAAAAAAATCAGAACTAAATTTGAATTCCAATTGATATTGGGAATATTGAGTTCAATATTGAAATGTCAGTGTACTCATTTGTCCATGGCCATAATATCTGCCTCATTGGGCTCCATGAAGATTAACTGAGATAGCGTGCCTGACATATAGTAGGTAGTGGTAATTCTACTTGTGTGATAAATGTGATGCAAAGAGAAGTCTAGACAAAGAACTTTGAGGGATGAAGGGAGTGGGCTTGAGTCTTGATATCAGGAACTTTTAATATTTTTTCAATTACTTTAAATATAGGAAATATTATTAAAAATTTAGCAGATGACTCAGAAGAATATTTGAAACCTTCTTATGACTGTGCTTATGCACTCCAGCAAGTTTAACACCACTATTCAGAACTAGGAGCTTGAGGACTGCAGCGATATCAAAGGAGGACATTTAATAAATTACTGTGGAAGTCAAACCTCAGTCCATGCCACCCGCCTCAGGAGGACATTGCTCTCCATGTGTCATTTAAAATGCAATTCGCTTTGAATGGCTACAGAGCAGTTCTATTATCAGATATGACTGCTTTTACTACTAGCAGTGCTTTAATGATTTTATGTCATCGCAATAATAGAAACACGACATTCAACTGTGACTACAGCGTGTATGAGTCTATTTTTGGAAAGCTGGTTTTGTAGAGGACATGGAAATGTGGAGTCTTGGTTCCTGTTTATTTCCCAAAAGGCTTAGCCAGGCACTCTCACACGTCGTTCCCTTCTGTAGACCTTTCACGACTTTCTGAAATGAGTATGGTGATTTGAGGCCTCAAATCATGTGTGTTCACATCCAAAAACCCCTCTTCAGAGAAGGGGAGTTGGACCTGAATCAATTTTTCCATCAGAGGAAACATACCTCATGGAGTATTTCAATGCTTGAGTCTTCACACTTGATAGGGACGAAACACACAAACAACAAAAAACAATAAAAATAACAAAAATTACACACATTCTTTCTCAGTGGAGGACACTGCCTCACATCTTTTACAGACAAATTTGAAGTTCAGAGTCATAAACTCCCTCAATGACCTGCCCTCAGATGTAGACACTTAACACTGTCAGCGCTCACATTTAACTTCCTTCTAATCTCAAACAAGTGATTCTCTCTTGCTTACGGCCAACTCTTCCACACATGTTCTCAATTCCAACACCCTGTCTCTTCTAGGACATTGATCCATCAGTGCTCTACTTTTGTTCCTATACTCTCACCTTCCCCATTGCTACCAGACCTCTCCTTTCAGTCTCTTAACAGGGCAAAACCCTTACCATTAACAACATGCACACACGTTCATGTGCGCGTGAGCACACGCCCCTCTATCTCTCGTTACTGACCTATTTTTCCCCACAACCAAACAACTTAAAATAGTTCACATTTGCAGTCTCCCATTTTTAAAACTCCTGTTTTTTCTTTTGCTTCTATAAATAAGTACGTGATTTTTTTCCTTGTCTCCTTGTGTCAAACAATATGCTGCAAGTATTTGCTTATCTGTCCTCTCCCCTCTTTGACCCATGCCTACCATCTTCTGCTGTCACCCATCTCCCCAAACCACTCAGGTGAACTTCGCCAATGACCTCGTAAGACTGAAACCCAATGGTCCACATCAGTAATTTGAACATTTTGCTTGCATGTGAAATAAACGTCACCTGCTTTCCCTTTTTAAATACTCCTCCCTCCTTTGGTTTCATACTTCTGCTGCCTCCTTATTTTCAACAGTGACTATATATTGACACATTTTCTCCAAGAACTGTGGCATACACCTTACGTTGTTAAAACAACCCTGGAAGGTAGGGGATATTGTAATATTGGACACATTTAAAAATTAAGCAAGTGAAACCTAAAGAAACTGAATGACTTTACCTGAATTACATAGTAAGTAAGAGGTATGGGATAAGAACACAGTCTTATCTGATACCAGTGTACATTTTTTAACGTGTTAATATGATAATTAAGTATTTGAAATATAAAGAAATATACCAATTAGTTACAACCATCAAATCTTGAGGATCCCCAGATTTAATGCACATTAAACATTTTGCTTTATTGGATTATTCTGTTTTCTACAACCGACATCTTATATGGGAAAAAATTGAAGCTCACTTTGTAATCCTCCCAATTCTACTCCTTGGCTCCCCAGAAGAAACTATTATCCTCTTGTTGATCCCTATGCTTTACATCCAAATTTTTACCTTACTATTAGATCCACACAGGCTTCCTTATTCCTCCTTCCTTTTCCTTTTCTTTGTCTGGATATTACATGTTTGTTTTATTTTCAGTCGATGTTCAGTCAGATTTTAAACATATATATTTAAGAGTTTATAGATAATCAGTATATCTAATCTCCTCTCAAACCAAATAGGGCTTTAGAGCTTATGCACACTAAACTTCTTCCTCTAACCTACCACATTAATTTGTCTTCTTTTTGCCTTGTAAAATATCTTGCCTTAAATGACCAGGAAATTAGCAATATCTGTCATCTATCTATTTATCTATCACTTATGTTATTCTTTACAGTCCAAATTTGCTTACATTTACCTTTATTTTTATCAAAGTACTTCTTCACCATCCACCCGTATTTTGGGAGGAGAGAATTCCATTTCCTCTGATTTTCACTCTCTAACAGTTTTTCTTTGCCATTGCGAGGCTATGAATTTCTAGTTCTCAGAGTATTTTTCAGAAGCATTTTTAAAATTTAGATTCACTCCCAAATTATAATTTGGCCGAGTGTAGAATTCTAGGTTGGCAAATATTTTTCATCCACCCTTTAAAAGTATCATTTCATTAGACTTCTTGTCTTCATCATGACTTAACACATCGTCTGTAATTCTAATTATCATTCCTTTGATTGTAATAGATATTTCATCTTCGATTGCTTTCATGATTTTTTCTGTTTGTGTGAGTTCTGAAGTTTCACTGCAGTAGATCTGGGTGTAGATGTGTTTTTAATCATCCTGTCAAGGATGAGGTATATTCAATCATTCTGAAGACTGATATCTTTTTCAGTCCAGGAACATTCTGAGCCATAATATCTTTCATTTCTCTCTATCCTCCTTTTCCAAAAATTCTCTTGTACGTTTTCTGTAGTAAGTTATTTTCTTTTCTTTATATCTACATCTATCTGCATTTCTGGTTAATTTAATCAGGTCTATTTCCAAGTTACTAATGCTTATTTACACTTATATACATCTTTACCAATGTATTTGCTCACAATCTTCAAATCTTGGGGCCCCTATGCCCCATGGTTCAAGATTGGGGTCCTTCTCCAAGTCTGATGTCTGTGATTATTTTTTTTCTTTTATCTATTTAAACTTTCACGCATTTATTGTAATGTCCCCTCTGGATAATTCTATCATCTCTAGTTCTACAGTGTGAATTTTCTTTTTCGTATTTGCCGATTCTCTTCTGTTATGTTTCCATAGGTGACTTAAATGTTTTACTCTCAAGTCACCTTCGTGGAAGTTGTTATGGACTAAGTTGTCTCCTCAAAATTTCTATAGTGAAGTTCTAATCCCCAATGTGATTGTATTCGGAGACTGGGTCTTTAAAGAGGTAATTAATGTCAAATGATGTCATAAGGTTGGGGCCCTAATCCAATGGGACCAATGTCCTTACGAGAAGAGGAACAAACATCAGGAGTATGTGCACAGAGGAAATCCCATGTGAGGACACAGTGAGAACGCAGCCATCTGCAAGTCAAGAAGAGAGATCTCACCAGAAGCCAACCCTGCCAGCACCTTGATCTTGGACTTCCAGCTTCCAGAACTGTGAGAAAACAAATTTCTGCTGTTTAAGCTACCCGACCTGTGGTATTCTATTATGGCAATCCAAGCTGACTGACACAGAAGTATTTCAGGGGCACACGCTTGTAGCAACACCCATTGAGTACCAGCTCATATGCATTTCTTCATTGTTGTCACTGGCTTCACTGAGTTAATATTAGGATTTTCTTAATTTCTCCACTTGCCATTCTCATACCACATAAGTAGTACAAATTTTGGATTCAGCAGTTGGCATAGAGCTGTTTCATATTGCCAGTTTCTCAAAAATGATTCATTTTCACTCATGGCTAGTGGTCAGAATTTCCTTAGTCCTACTTTCAAGGACATAGCAGAATAACCTTCTGCCTCAAAGCTTTTTGCAGGTAATACACATGAAGTCTCTGCATGAGCCTGTGGCCTGGGCTTCCCTTTGGGGGTACTAAAATGTTAGACCCAGCATTTAAGATTTGTTTCTTAGTTCTGGGAACTCTGAGATTTGAGGTCTCTGATTATTGATCTTACCTTTAATTTTTTCCCTCATTCTGGAATCTAAGGAGCCCCGTTTCTTTTGTTTTTGGTGAGGAAGATTGGCCCTGAGCTAACGTCTGTTGCCAATCTTCCCCTTTTTGCTTCAGGAAGATTGTCATTGAGCTAACATCTGTGGCAGTCTTCCACCTATTTTGTATGTGGGATGCCGCCACAGCATGGCTTGATGAACACTCTGTAGGTCTGTGCCCAGGATCTGAACCAGTGAAGGCTGGGCCCCTGAAGCAAAGCACACGAACTTAACCACTATGCCACAGGGCCAGCCCCAGGAGTCCCCTTTCTTCACTTTGACCCTGAATAATATTTCAAAAGTACTTTTCTCATAATTTAATTGATTTGGAGTGGAAATGGAATATTCCTACAGCAGCCTAATTTCAAATACTGACCAGATGCCCCCATGATCTTTCTATCTCATTATGCCACCTTTGTTTGTCCCCATCATATCTCTGATTACCTACTGTAACATGTAACAGCTAATTTCTCTTTTTATGCTTGATAACTAAATATTGGTGCTTTCTGAGGATCAGCCTTCTCTTCTGATGTTCTCCTTGAACAAACTAGTCTACTTCTAACGTTATAAGTAACTCATTTTTGAAAATTCTTATTTGAGATCTCAAATCCTGCATTCAAAGGAGGGGAAAATTCCATCCATTCGGCCTTCTTAGCATTACCATTATACAGCAGCTACCATCAAACCCCAGCTCTTGTGGGATAGAGCAGCCTCTAAAAATTTTAACATGCACTATTTAATTATTAGCCAAGTTGACATCCATGCCTCTAATTATTTTTGTTCTCTTCCAGTTTTCTTTTGTCTTCCAGAGATATTTTAACTTTAAAAAAAAAAAAAAAAGAAACTATTCCATAGTCTTTGATCCCATGGGTCTTTACAATGGATTTTCTTTGGCTATAGGATAAAGTCCAAACTCTTTAGCTGACAAAACTGACTCTTGATCATTCAGCCTTTGACTACTGGTCTAGATTTACTCTTCACAGGGCTCCATAACACCACTTTGCACTCCAGTTTAATTAAGCCATTTGGAGCATCACATGTCCATGACTTTGCTCCAGCTTTGCCTCTCCCTGAAATGTTTTCTCCTTGCCCCTTCTTCCCCTCTTCAGCTCAACATCACTTTCTCAAATCTCTCAATCTTTTCCAGGGAAAGATGACAACACCCTCCTTTGTATCTCTACCAGACAAACTTATCCTTGGTACTTATTATAATCTTAATTCCACTGATATAATAACTTGCCTGCCTCCTACCCTGAGATTGTGAGATCTTTTAGGAGTGGGTTTCTCAGCCTCAGTGTATTAATATACTAGACCAGACAATTGTTTGTTCTGTGGGCTGTCCTGTGCATTGCAGGATATTGAGCAGCATCCCTTACTTCTAGGCACTAGATATTATTAGCACTCATCCCTCAGCAGACATGTCAACCAACCACATCTCCAGACATTGTCAAATACCCTAAAGAGGGAGCACATAATCATCCCTGGCTGAGAACCACTTCTTTAAGACAGAAGCCACATTTCAAAAGTCCTGTATTCAAAGACGTCACCTACATTCTGGAAATATTAATTGACTGAATGAGTGTAGGATGAATAACAATATTTTATTTATCAACAGATTGTATAAATATAATATAAATATATATGTATGTCCTGTCTCTTTCTCTCTCTCTCTCTCTATACATATCCTCATTATTTGATATCTGTTAGTATAAGCTATACTTTAAATAACTGAAAGATAAAATATTTGACTTGTGAATTATACTTTTGAGTAATTCAGAGTGCTAAAGTTTAAATAATATTAGCAGGACATAAGATTGCCTGTATATATACATATCATAGTGAAAGACCAAATGCCAACTAAGACACACGGTCAAGTGAGAACAATTAACAATTTTGTGAATTGGCTGCCACTTCAGATTTATTTTGCCAAGGCTAATGTTTTGTTAAGTCAATACTTCTGCCAGTCATAAGAGGCTTCGTTGAAAGAACTTATGTTTGAATTTCAACAACTCTGCATTTAACCTGAAGGAAATATAATCTCCTGGGCAACTGTCAAAAGAAGTGAGTATGTTGACAATGAGTCTTAAAATAAAAGCTAAATCAAAGAAAAGTCATCATAATTCTTAACTGCTCTTCCTTTAGACAATTGTTTAACAAATATCTTCTGAAGATCTTTTTATTCCTACCAGAAGAGAGAATTCACACGTGCAAATAGTCTAAAGAACTGGAATCAAAAGGTGAAGGAAGTTCAAGTGAAAGAGCCATCCCCTTCACTTGGAAAAATCAAGGAACAAGTTACAGAAAAGATAGAACGGAACTTTGGCCTTAGGAAATAAAGGTTCTTAATATCAGCATTATTTATAATATTACAAAAAAAAAGACACCTAGAAAAGTCTTAACATTAAATATCAGCTGAATAGTTACTTCTATTTGAAAATTTTAGTTCTGATAACTGCAATAATATGCAAAACTATGTGTCATATATTAAATAATAACATTAGAGAACAGAATTTTGCATTCAGTCTGAGTTATAGGAGACTCGTGTAAGATGCATTGTATAAGGATCAAAGCCTGGAAGAAAACACACAACAATGTCAATGATGATTCCTGGATTGCAGGACCAACAGGAGCAATATGACTTCTTTAGATATCTCAGTATTTCCAGCTTATCTTCAATATCTGTGTATTACTTTATACACGCGCAAATGATAAACAAAACAAAGGTTTTGTTCTTTGACTCTACTCATATTTGAGAATACAGAAAGTCTTCCCTTTATTTTATTCGCCATAAATTCATATTATTCTCACAGAGGTTTCAGACACCACAACTGAAAAAATAAACAATTTTGTGAAATTTTATTTCTATACTTTGCTAAATGGCTATAGGTCATAATTTAGTAAGCAAGTAAAATTAAGAAATCATGAATTTGAAATCTGCCATGTTGAAATTGTCATAGTCTTCCCACCGCTCTTAAAATGACTTCTTACAAAGCACTCACTCATCTATGTACCACCCAATGTATCTGGAAAATTGATTACAAATTGTGTTAGAAGATTGAAAAGAAATTAGGAAAATTGACCAAATACACAAAACCTTAAATCACTCCTCTTCCAGAAAGACTTTGGTATCGCTGGAGTCTATACTGATATTATGCTTATTTGGATGATACACGTCGTCTCTGTCTTAAACAGTAATTTGTGTACAAGTTCTGCCCCCCAGTAGAGTTCCTTAAATATTCAGATGGCATCTTCTACTCCTTTGACTCAAACTCCTGAGGGCTGAATGCATGCTTAGGTACTACAAAATACAAGAAGTAATAAATGTGCAAACAGCCAGTTCCTGGCCAACAGTGGGTATTTAATAAAAATTTGAAGGTATATATTTACAGAGAAAGAAAATTGGTTATAAAAACAACAAAACTTAAGGCAATAAAATAAACTTTGTGGTCTCAGCATAATCTGAGATTGTAAGTACAGCAGCACATTACAGACTTGAATTTATTTTTCCTCCATGATTTAGACCTTCCTAAAAATATTTTCCCCAGATAGCTTTGATGTAAAAAAAAAAAAAAAAGGTTGATTAGTAGGATGCCAACCTTTCCAAACAGACATGATGCTTAAGGTGCCCCCGTCTTGAGATCTATGTAAGTATTGTTCTTTGTGCATGAATGATGTTCCCCTATTTATCACATAACCTACCCTTACATTACTCAGGTCTCTGCTTAAAGGCCATTTCTTGAGAAAGGTGTATTCTGGCTACTCTAAAAAAAATGCCTCATCAATCTTTACCCACTTACCTTGCATCTTTTTAACAGAAAAGTAATGCCTACACTATATGGTTCTCGTTTTAACCGTGGTTTAGTTCTTTTCCTAAAATTTATGCTCCATGTGGGCAGGTACCTTGTATGTTTTATGCACTGTGCATCTCTACTTCTTAGCATACTGCCTGCTACATAGTAGGTACACAATAGATATGTATTGATCGATGACTGAATGAGTGAATGCATAAATGAATACAATGGTGACTTCATTGCATCATATTCAAACTCTAGGGCACAGATTTTGATGAGTACACTATGACCCCCATCTTGATGTTCTTTATCTTTTTAATTTTTTTATCATGATTCTGTTCCATATGTCCATGCTATCTATATTTTCCCTCGTATTTTTCTTTCTTTTTGGCTATCCATAACTACAAAAATAATGGCAACCAAAAAAACTCTATGTTTTATGTCTTAATTTATTTTTCTGAAAATTATCCTAATAACACTGCCTTAATTTGGAGAATACTTAATTTTCAAGATGTCATACCTTTGAAATTTTTATGTTGCTCGCTACTATTTTCTTGTGATCTTGAGCAATAATCTCCCTGAACCCATCTGTAAAAGAAAGGAAACTATGCTATCTGGCAGATTTTGTAAAGCATTTATTAAGATGATGATTTCTTGGAAAGCCCCTAATGCAATGATTCTCATCTGCTATGACAGAATCATGCAGAAAATGTTGCTCTTCATTGCCAAAGACTGTACCTTCTTTGAGGAAGGCAGTGATTGCCTGGTAGATTCACAGGCGCCAGTTGCTTTTCATTTGACTCTTAGCTTTTGCATCATTCATACTATTTCTAAGATAAGATTTGGGGTCTGGGGGAAGACTTGGATCAGGAATAATAACCTCACAAGTGGATTCCATCCTTCTCCTTCAAAGCTTTACACTTGTTTATCAATGCGTTTATCAATGGGTTCTTGACAATATTCTCCATGTTTATTGTTCCTTGAATACCTGGCACATTCTCCCTACAGGGCCTTTGGACTTACTGCTCCCTTGTCTAGGAATGTTCTTCTCAGATATCCACATTTCTTGCTTCTTTATGCCCTTGTGGTGTCCCATCAAATATCACCTTACAAATGAGGAAACTTAGCCATCTCTTCCATTCCCCATCCTGGCACTTCCTCTCTCTATCTTCCCTTCATTTCCTCCTTACTGTTCTAACTATCTGAATTATGACACACCTCTCTATTTTTTTAGCTTACC